GTATGTATTTACATTTTCGCTGCAGGTTTACGTTGTAGATGACATCTCTAGATCGCAGTTTAGGAGCCTCAACTTTGGGTTCACTGTCAGCAGACTTTTGGTTGTTTTTTGACTTTTTGTCATCATTTTCTTGATTTCCTTTAAGACAATTTTTGTAACCTCAGAAAGTGTTTTGGGAAATCCGAAACGGCATATGCTTTACCACCTTTCTGACATGTTTTTGTATGGAGTGCAGCTGAAGCTTGATAAGTTTGTGACCTCGGGATCTTCTTCAAGGGTTGGATAATGAGTTGTAACATACTTATCAATAAATTCTATTACTTCCTCGATGGGACTCTCACCTGGTATAGGGGCACCTACTATTTGAGAAGCATGTGAAGGTGAGGGGATCCACGGCCCCCAAACTCATTTCTACCAAAATGAGCCAAAGCCTCCCCCATGACACCCTGATCCTCAATCAGATAAGATAGAATTTTGCGGACGTAGCGGTCGAACATGCGCACAGCAATGACAGGGTCCATTTTAATTAGCCGTGCTTCCTAAACCAGCTTATGTCACTTAATAATTCATCGTAGGTTCCTGACCCATTAATTTCAGAATAGCCGGAACTGAGTAGACCAAGTCGTTAAAGGAGAATGTTAAGAACCAAGTAAAATTACCTAGCTGATTCACCATAGCTATACCATCGTTCTTGATCTTCTGTAAGTAAGCTGGAGTACCCTTCATATTTTTCATAAATTTATAAGCATCATGTTACTTTGAAGCTGATCCATGTTGCACTGGTAAGATCTAGGAGCCCTGCGGTAATGATTTGACCGTCCATAGTTCTAGAACCTTTGCGCATGGGAGTAGCAATGCAACTAAGTAGCTGATCACGTTCAATCCAGTTCTGCATGTAAAATATATACTCGGGGTTTTGAGCGTACTTTCTATGCTTAGAGTATAATTTGCTTTCAGCGTAATCTTTTAAGGAGAGTTTAGGGAGAAGTTTTTCTGAATGAGATCATTTCTTTTGCTGCAGTTGAAGTGACCCTTACCGAGAGGAAATAGATCAGGAAATGACAAGGCTTCGTAGTCGGCATTACCAAGGAAAGGAACAGGTTTACTACCCTGGCCAGGTGCAAAGTCCATGAAAGGTATTTTACCGTCATCAATGTTCTCAGCTGGATCAGATTTTTGGATGCAAGACTCAAAAGGCATATCACAGTACGTACCCTCGTTAGTGACATTTGATAAAATAAGATCTAATATTGACATAGAAACAACAACAGGGTCATCATTCATGTACGAGTCAAAGAACTGCTTATCACCATCGTAATTTTGTTTAATGAAATCATGGGAAAGTACAACATTCTTATAAAAAGGATTGTTTTTCTTAAGCCATACTAATAATGTTATACATTTATCAGGATTAACAACATCAGACATTACAACAGACTTGTACTCACCTTACGTTTTATACGGACAGCTAAAATACCAGACTCAGAAAGTTTACGAGGGAGCTGCATGCAATTTCTGTCAGGTTGGATGGGGACATTAACAACAGGGCCTTTAATACAACTTTGACCACCAGCAGGAAGGGATAAAATTTTCATAAATGGAATGATTTGGGATACTAAGCGGCATTCGGTGGGGTTTGGGCTGAAGGGAGGATGGGAGATCGCCTGAAGCCAGGAACATTTCGTTTACATCTATAGGGGAGAACTTGCCACGCTTTAAATAACTATTGCAACGTTTACAAATCCATTTATTATCTGCTTTAGTAACCGAAGGAATATTAAGCTTAACTTAAGAGTATCCTTTGCCTTAACAACACCTTCACGGAAGAAAAGCTTGTGACATTTAATGCACGCATATTCTGGGTACTCTCGCATTTTAGCACGGAAAGTCTTCACAATGTTGTCAGTCTTTGGATCAAATGAGAGTTTTGGAGGTGATTTAGAGTGATGCTCAAGGGGCACTGGAGAAGCCTTTGAAGCATTGGGTGGCACCTCGAGGTGGTCCTCAACAGAAAAGTTATGCAGGCTTGACGATTCTATGTCGGGTGACTGGCAGGCAGATGGTTCAGATGAAGCAGTAAAATTGTTGATTTGGTGAGACGCTTGGAGATGAGAAAAGGGGCAGTTGTCCATAAAACCTGGGCAGAAGGTACATTTATTGACGCAGTTAAGTTCAATTTCAGCTAATACTTTGGAGCCATGAGGAAAACGAACAAAGTCCCAATCCAAAGTTGAAATAGGCCTCTGTGGTACCTCAGGTTGATCCTCCACAAAAAAGTTATGCAGGCTAGAATATTCCATGGAGGGTGATTGGCAGGCTGATCGTTCCGATGAAGTAGTAAAATGTTGATTAGGGAGACACTTTGGAGATGAGAAAAGGGGCAGTTCTCCATAAAACCTGGGCAGAAGGTGCATTTATTAGCGCAGTTAAGTTCAATTGCAGCTAATAATTGGAGCCATGAGGAAAACGAACAAAGTCCCAATCCAAAGTAGAAATAAGGCTCGTTGATACTGGAGATTTATGCGAATCAGTTTCTGATTTCTGAGCTGTGTATTTTGGAGGTGTTTGGCATGAAAAGGTATTAGAAGATGAAGGTGAACCTAAACAGGATTTAGCAGCAAACTTTATATCAATATTAGTCTCAGTAGGTACCTGTGCCCGATAAGATGACGGTGAGTGATGCGGTGGAGTAGAGTGTAGTTTTGGTAGAGATTGAGAAGAAGTTCCGTATCCATTTAAAGGAGATGTAACTTTATTATTTCTATTAACAGCAACTGTATGAAATGAAATGTCGTGGGGTGAGTAAGCAGTTTTAATCGATGAAGCTGGAGACCGTGAATGATTGTGATTAAAAAGTGCAGAGTAGGTTGGTGGAGTTTTGTAACCGCTCATATTGGTTAGGCTATGTTGACGAAGGAGAACAGGAGAGCACATTTTCTGAGATGTACTGTTCCTAGCTTTATTGAGAGAAATACGAGTGCGTCGCTTTTCTTTCGCAATTTTCTTTGTTCATTTGTCATTGCTGCGCGCCTGGTCTTTTCCTTAAACGTTTTTGCTCTTTTTTGCATTGCGTTCAGGGGTTGTCATAGATGCCATAGTTGACGACTTTCGAGATCTTTCAGTTTGTTGGAGTATTGTGAGCTCAGTGGTGGGCATAGTTGCCCGAGCTTGAGACATTTGGGATCGTTGTTTTTGTTGGAGTTGTGTGAGCTCTGTGGTGGGCATAGTTGCTCGCTTTTGAGACATTCGAGATCGTTCATTTTGTTGGAGTTTTGTGAGCTCTATGGTGGTCATAGTTGCTCGCTTTTGAGACTTTCGATGACAATCATACTGAAGATGTTGTGAACGCTGTGGGCTTGTCATAAAAGCACGATGCTTCCGCATTCGATTACGAGCAGAATATCGATCTTTCTCTTTTTTGAAGCTCTTTATCAGCCATATTAGAAAGAGTGTCATATTTCTTAGAGGAATCCGTTTCCTTTTTCTTGTTAACAGTTGAAGCATAAGAGTCATTTTCGGTAGATGGGGTCAAAAAGCGTGGAACTTTCTACATAGTTACCATTGTGACAGTCATAATATGGTCTATACTCCTGTGATTCGTGCAATTCAGTGTCATCAATGAAATTGTCCCATATCATGTGGCGAAGCTGTACAATCATGGGAGTTGTCAGACTCTTGGGATACATGACCTTCTTCATCTTGAGCTTCATTGTCGATGAAAGGATTGTTATTTCGACCTCCACCATACATTGCAGGGAAGCAGTGGCAGACGGTGACAGCCGGTAAGTCTTATAAAAGGTGCAGGGATCCGAAGAAAAAATGGCAGATGACAAAGCTCAGTAGAAATAGAGTTGTGGCTCACACTAGGGACAATAGGTGTTTGAAGAATGGTGGATGATGATGACAAATGTATCCGGTTATTCTGATCAGATGAGGACACCCCGTCATTCTTATCGAGGGTGCTGGGCTTTAATGAAACAGGGCCGGATGAAGACACCCCTTCAGTCTTATCGAGGGTGCTGGGCTTTAATGAAACAGGGCCGGATGAGGACACCCCGTCAGTCTTATCGAGGGTGCTGGGCTTTAATGAAACAGGGCCGGATGAAGACACCCCTTCAGTCTTATCGAGGGCGCTGGACTTTAATGAAACATGGCCGGATAAAGAGACCCCTTCAGTCTTATCGACGGTGCTGGACTTTAATGAAATAGGGCCGGATGAAGAGACCCCTTCAGTCTTTCCGAGGGTGCTGGACTTTAATGAAACAGGGTCGGATGACGACATCCCTTCAATAGATCTTGGCTTAAGCGTTCTGAAAGTAAGACTGAAACGGTAGCCTTGGCAAACACCAGAGGTACTTCGTTAGCTATACGATGGAAGTACGCTAACTGTGACTCAGGATCCATAACAAACAACGAATTAGACAGAAGCTGCTGACTGAACGAGGGGCGGTTCCTTTTACACGTGGCAAAGTCCATGTAACGTGTAGCCCCGATTGATAGTGTCGCAATTTTGGCAGATTTGTCCAAGTGCCGTTCATCGTCCTTATGATATGGTAAGATGGTAGAGGAGTCTTTATAAAAGTTGACCAATATGCTGTTAAAGTTAGCTGACAATGTAACATTTACAATGGACAAAATTTTTGTAGTATAGGCTCTGAGTGAATGGGGATAGGATTTAGATGTTTAGTAGCCCTGTTGTAAACATATCTATCTTTGCCGAAAAGAAGGACCTGCGATGAGTTGATACCCTGCCTAATAAAAAGACCTTGTTTCACTTTAGACAGTAAAAGTTCCTCAACATGTTTTGCAATATGCACAGGGAGTAGATCTTTGTAATAGGCCAGCCTTGTATGAAGCCATTCCGGACACCTCGACGAAATATATGAGGTAGGAGCAGGTGCAGGTGTTGGTGCAGCAGGAGCAGGTGCAGCCGGAACATGAACAGGTGCGGGTGAAGCAGGAGTAGATGCAGGCGTATCAGGTGCAGGTGCGGGTGCAGCATGATCTGGTTTTGTTGCAGGAGGAGCAGCAGATGGAACAGGTGCAGGAGATGGTGGAGGTGCAGAAGGAGCAGTAGCAGGAGGAGTAGAAGCAGATGGAACAGTGCAGGAGGAGCAGCAGATGGAACAGGTGCAGGAGGAGCAGCCGATGGAACAGGTGCAGGAGATGGTGGAGGTGCAGAAGGAGCAGTAGCAGGAGGAGTAGAAGCAGATGGAACAGGTGCAGGAGGAGCAGCAGATGGAACAGGTGCAGGAGGAGTAGAAGCAGATGGAACAGGTGCAGGAGGAGCAGCAGATGGAACAGGTGCAGGAGGAGTAGAAGCAGATGGAACAGGTGCAGGAGGAGTAGAAGCAGATGGAACAGGTGCAGGAGGAGCAGCAGATGGAACAGGTGCAGGAGATGGTGGAGGTGCAGAAGGAGCAGTAGCAGGAGGAGTAGAAGCAGATGGAACAGGTGCAGGAGGAGCAGCAGATGGAACAGGTGCAGGAGGAGCAGCCGATGGAACAGGTGCAGGAGATGGTGGAGGTGCAGAAGGAGCAGTAGCAGGAGGAGTAGAAGCAGATGGAAAAGGTGCAGGAGGAGCAGCAGATGGAACAGGTGCAGGAGGAGTAGAAGCAGATGGAACAGGTGCAGGAGGAGCAGCAGATGGAACAGGTGCAGGAGGAGCAGCAGATGGAACAGGTGCAGGAGGTGCAGAGGCAGGAGAAGTAGTAGATGGAGAATAACCCGGAGTTAAGTCCCACAAGCTATCAGACCGATCAGGAAATTGTGAGGGTAAAGGGGATGCAGGGATCAGTGAACTGTCTACTAGATAACGGAGATGAGTGGGGATACTAGCAAAACCAAAAAAATAGCAGTGAATGTTAGCCTTAACAATCTTTTTAAACAAAATGTTACCTGTGTAGCTGAAATGTAAATTATCCGTACGCTGGATGTAATTGAAAGCATCATTAGGAGTAATGTGAAAAGGGTTAGAAACTAATACAAAATTAAATTTATTACGTAAAGAAACCAATTCAGCGTTAAAAGCATTAATTTTAGAAAGAAAATGTGATCTTTCACACTTAGGATAATCAAAACGAGGCAAAACAATATTCACAAAAACAATAGCCTTAGGAAACTTAAGATGCACACAATTCATGAGGCCAGTAAACATTTCTGCAAACGTAACACTATCACACGAACACCTACCTTTTATATTGTTAGTTCCCACCATGACGTAGACAGCATCTATCTGCGGCAGTTTCCGAGGATTGATGTTGGTAACCTCGTCTGCCACGTGCTCAGTGTCCATACCACGGCAAGAGAAAACATGTAGTCCACGGTATGATTGCGGATATAAACGTGTAGGTTCTTCGGGACATTCGGAATTAATGTATTTAACCATCGAATCTCCTATAACCACAACCTGAAAAGAAAATATTTCTCAATCATCGTGTAATGTAAAGCTCCCACAAACATAAATGAAGTGTAAGTTGTACTTGTAATGCTTGTACATCTGTTGGGGTTTACTGTACAACAATCTAGAAAATGTGTACATATTTTAGTAAAATCATAACATTTAAATACTCACGTTCTTATCCGTATAGACGAACTCCTCAGGAGAGAAGCTGGCGGTGTTGCACTTAAACTGTACGGGTCCCGGGTTAGTTTCCACATCGCCTGATAGTATTAGGCACATCCTGGACCAAACAGCAGAAGGAGACGAATCACCAGCTATAGCGTTTACGACCAGTTGAAGAACCAGGATGGCAGGACTAGATGGCAATAGGCCAGCAACCTCGAGGTACTGCAACTGAGCACTAGCAGCTTCAACTGTTGATGTCAAGTAAATTAATTGAGCCAAAACCAGATTATAAATCAAATTTAATGTTGACATGATGTTAAGGTTGCAACAACTTTGAAAAATAAACTCCAAATAAAATTCAACACTCAACACAGCTCCTGAAGCCAAAACCAAGGTGTTCTGTGGTTGAAGGGCGACCACGAAAAGCTGTTGAGGGTTCATTAGAACCGTCCACAGACTGGGTGTAGAGAGCAGACGACCTATAAATAGGATTGCTATTTATTATACAATGATATCTTCAACAACCAATCTAATCGAGCACAGAAAAGCTCAAGGAAACGAAACGTCAGGTAGCAGATGTGCAATTTCAACCGTAAACGAACTCACCATAACCAACGAGAACTCCAGTGTTCATCGACGACGCAAACATCAGCACAACCAGGACAGAACTAGCCGCTAAAGCTCCCCGCACGAAGAATGTTCTCGTGAAGGTGTAGAATGAGCTGACACCGTAATCAGAGTGCTTGTAAACAAACGTCAGTCGATTGAATAATAACCAGATATGTACATTATGACAAAAGTAATATTGCACATTAACCAAACTCCTCGAGATCAAATTTATTGTAGGCAATAATACTTGGTTTCCATAGTAACATAATACCATACTAAAAATATCAAAACAGTCTAACAAAAACCCTGTCACAGCAACTTTTACCTCGTCAAAACATATGTCATATTTAATCAAATTATCCGGTGCCAAGTCGGTGGAACATCCCATCAAAAACAAAATGATTAACAGCTTGTACTTCATTAAATAAAGATGAAAGGTTTGTTAAGTTAAATTGAACAGAATGGATACGTAACGTGGCGTGTAATTTACGGAAAGACTTAATTTCGTCGCGCGATCATTTATCAACAGTCTAGTAACGTGACGTCACGCGAGTTCAAGTAGACCCATCGTCTGTAGGAAGCACAATGCATCTGTGGTTAAATTCTGCGCGCGCGCGCGGCTTTTTCGTTGCATAGTAACGAACGGAAGTAAGCAAGGAACACGACATACATTTGACCCACCTACTGCAATCTCCAAAATCCACGTTTTTCTGCAAAAACCTCCATTCGTAACCTTCCACTTTATATTTTTACAAAATAGTGGATGGAAAAAATCGGATCCCAGTGGGATCGGGTCAAATTCAGTTCATCCGCCATAGTGTACTTGTATACGATGATCCTTTGCGTGTGTACGCCGTATACATTACTATACAGTATAGTAATGTATATGGCTTACACACGCAAAGGCGGGTTTATACCGCACAGGTTACTGAGCTGGTTACCATGGTTACTAACTGAGTAACTGCACAGAGGTAAGTGCGGTTATATTTTGTAAATATTGCGATTCCGTACAGGGACTTTTGTCCCTGATTCCGTACCTACCCAAAATATTTTTATGTTTGGAAAATGTTGAGGCAAAAAGCACTGCAATTAACTCTTCGCCAAATTTGCAGCCTTTAAGTTGACTTAGGGCTCAGATTGGACTATTCAACAGCGTAGTTTATTACGTTGCCTTACACGATCGTTCTTGTTAACACGACAACTAACTTACAAAATTACAAGTTCTCTTACGTCTCAAGCTGATCAGTTTCCTGAATCAGGCGGGGCTAGTCAAGCTGGTGTTTTTAATTTTTTTAAATAAGGTTAAGCTGGTGTTGATGAGACAAATTACTAGTAGTACTAGTAGCTTATATACTATATAGTTATACGCACAATGTGTTATCTGTATTTTATATTGTAAAGACGTTATATAGAGTTATAATATTGAATACATTTATTCAATTTGTCTTCTAAGTGGGAACTGCTAGATTGAGCGATTAATTGATTGGAGACTAGTCCGTCAAACCATACAATTATTATAAAGGGTCTCAATAAGAGGTCTCGACTGCCTAGGCGTCAAACCTTGGCAGTCGGTAGTTTTCCTCTCATCCTCTGGCCCGGGATCAGCTGACCCTAGGGACCAGAGGGTAAAGGTGTAGAGACTATGTGTATCTACAAATCTTTCGAGGTTGTTTTTACAAGAGACAGGGCTTCCTACGCAAGGGAAGAAAACCGTGAGAAACAATCACAAATTATACAATGAAATATTATAAAACCTAGCAAAAAGAAATTCAAACAATCCTACACTACTACAAATGTTTATTACATACTACAATGTAATACACGATAAATAAATGCTGTATAATCAAGAAACAGGGCTTGCAGGGCAAGGGACGGAACACAGGAACTGGCTACAGAGTGTATAAAACAGTGATTCAGCATTTACAGCAAGTACCCATTGGGTATTGCTGAATCTGACCCACAAAATACCACAATCAATACAAGAATATACAATATAACAAACATCATGTTTATACAAGAATCAGGGCATGCAGAGCAAGAGAAGAAAAATAAGAGAAAAACTCCAACACATGTATATTTTATACCCCTTAGTCCAGCAAATAACAATAATAACTTGTAACAAAACTGTATAATATAAAATACATAACAAATACACAGTCTACCCAATATACGAGTTAAAAATTGTATAAACAAGAGACAGGGCTTGCATAGCAAGGGAAGAGATATAAGAGGACCAGGTAAAAGGTGTTTATTACAGTATCCAGTGAAGAATAAACTAAATATAGAGTATCTACAGTGTATTATACTCTCAATTATATTATATGTCTAAGACCATCCTGAGAATTCTGGCTGATCCAAGCAAAGCTGTATTTACTTCTGGAGATTAGAGATGCTCAGATTGCAGTGGACTGCGTCGAGGTGTTTACGAAAGTTAATGGTGATAGTTCCTAATGCGCCTATCACCACAGGGACGATTGTGACCTTTCGTAAATTCCAGTTCTTCTTAATTTCTCTTTTTAGGTCTTGATATTTCAATATCTTTTCTTGTTCTCTATCCAGGATCCGGGTATCTCCTGGGACTGCAACGTCAATGATGGTTGCTGCGTTGGTTACCTTGTCTACCAGGAGGAGATCCGGTCTGCAGTGTTCGATAACGTGGTCTGACTGGACATGGAAGTCCCACAATATCTTGACTTTTTCGTTCTCCAGCACCTTCTCTGCCCGGTGTTCGTACCACCTTTTACTGCGTGGGAAGCCGTATTCCTTGCACAGACTCCAGTGCAATGCGGCAGCTACTTTGTCATGCCGACACTTATATTCTGTCTGTGAAAGTTTTGGTCACCCGCCCATTCAGTATGTGGTCTATTGTCTCGTAATGATTTCTGGGGAAGTTGGCCGTTTAGCTCCGGACAGTCTATGCAACGTCCGTGCAACAACAAAAGAACCGTCTATGCAACGTCTATGCAACGTCCCTGCACAATGAACACTCTATGCACACTCCCTGCACGGTCAGTCTATGCAACGTCTATGCAACGTCTATGCAACGTCCCTGCACAGTACCATATGAACACCGGCTACTAGCCGGCTACTAGCCGGCTAGTAGCCACTTTTGTAATAACAGCTCCTCAACTTCACATTAACAACCGGCTACTAACCGGCACTTGAAAAGTGGTCACTAGCCGGCTACTAACCGGCTACTAGCCGGCTAGTGACCACAAAGTGGCTACTAACCGGCTACTAAGCGGTCACTAGCCGGCTATTAGCCGAGCTCTAAAGCAGACCTATTAGTAGCCGGTTCTAAACCGGCTACTAGCCGGCACTTGAAAAGCGGTCACTAGCCGGCTACTAACCGGCTACTAACCGGCTAGTAACCACCAAGTGGCTAGCGACCGCTTTTCGAGTGCCGGCTAGTAGGTCCGCTTAAGAGCCGGCTAGTGACCGGTTAGTAGCCGGTTAGTAGCCACTTGGTGGTTACTAGCCGGTTAGTAGCCGGTTAGTAGCCGGCTAGTGACCGCTTTCTAAGTGCCGGCTAGTAGCCGGTTTGGAACCGGCTACTAGTAGGTCTGCTTTAGAGCTCGGCTAATAGCCGGCTAGTGACCGCTTAGTAGCCGGTTAGTAGCCACTTTGTGGTCACTAGCCGGCTAGTAGCCGGTTAGTAGCCGGCTAGTGACCACTTTTCAAGTGCCGGTTAGTAGCCGGTTGGTAATGTGAAGTTGAGGAGCTGTTATTACAAAAGTGGCTACTAGCCGGCTAGTAGCCGGCTAGTAGCCGGTGTTCATATGGTACTGTGCAGGGACGTTGCATAGACGTTGCATAGACGTTGCATAGACGTTGCATAGACTGACCGTGCAGGGAGTGTGCATAGAGTGTTCATTGTGCAGGGACGTTGCATAGACGTTGCATAGACGGTTCTTTTGTTGTTGCATGGACGTTGCATAGACGTTGCATAGACTGTCCGGAGCTAAACGACCAAGTTGCCGATTTCTGCAGAGTCTGCCGAGGGGAGAAGAGCCAGGTGTTTTGTCAATCCTGTGCTACACATATTTAGTCCTAAGTGCTTGGTCTTGGGCTGCTATCAACAATCCTTCTGTCTCCTTCTTCAAGTCTTGTTGAGTGAGCCAGTTCCAAGAGGTTAACGGGTCCGCTATACCCATCATCTGCCTTGGGAATTGTCCGTGCATCACTTTAGCAGTCCACTTCTCCTTGCGGATTTCCTCGCGTTGTGTTCGGTCGATATCTTTCTCTATCTCTTCACCCAAGAGTATCTTGTCTTTGACAAAGTAGTCCTTCAGAGCAATCAGTTCTGGGTCTCTACTTCTCACCACATAAGTGGTGAGTGCATTCTCCTCTCTCTTTAAGACTTCCTCTATACTATGTAGCCCACGGCCACCCAGTTGACGGCTGACGTATAACCGATCAACATCTCCTTGGGGGTGGTGAGCTCCATTTATCCTCATCAGTTTCCGGGGGTTGACATCTAAGGCTTTGGTCTCTCCAGTATTCCATGACAGAATTCCAGCTCCATATCTTATCACAGGTACAGCCCAGGTGTTAATTGCTTGTATACTATTCCTGCCATGAAGCTGGGATTTTAAAACCTTTTTAACTCTTCTGATATACTCTTTTGTAACCAGTGCTTTCATCTCTTTGTGTAGTATATCATTGGCTTCTAGTATTCCCAGATACTTATACTCGTCCTTCAACCCATGGATCTGTTCACCTGTGGGTAGGGAGATGCCTTCGAATACGGCTCTTGCTCCCTTCTTCGCCTTCACCACGGCACATTTCTCTAGCCCGAATTCCATTTTTATGTCACTGCTGAACTCTGCTGTGGTATTAACCAGTGTTTGCATTTCGTCTTCACTCTCGGCATACAACTTGAGGTCGTCCATGTATAGCCTATGTGACACTTTCGGTCGACCTCCCCTCTCCAGAGAGTATCCTATGTCATGCTTATTCAAAAGAATGGACAGGGGTATAAGACTAATGATAAAGTGAATAGCTGATACTGAGTCTCCTTGAATAGACCTCTATTAATTTAAATTCTCCCAAAGGAAACTTTACCAAGCATCAGGTTAACATACGATTGTTTGAAGGAGGCTTCAAACAGGTCTATGATGGAAGAAGAGATACCACACATGGTCAAACAAGACAGAATCCAGGAGTGTGGGACGCTATCATACGCCTTCTTGTAGTCTATAAACGTCATGTTCAGGTTCCGCTTCCTTCGTTTACAGTTCTTCAGAATGAGTTTGTCTATCATTAACTGTTCGTTACATCCTCTGCTCTTCTTCTTGCACCCTTTCTGCTCAGGGGGGAGGAGTTTTTGCGGGTCTAAATGGTTGTATATGGAATCTGAGATTAGACCAGTGAACAGTTTCCACATAGCTGATAAGCATGTAATAGGTCTGAAATTGCCTGGAATGGGTCCTTTGGAGTAGTCCTTTATGAGCAGGTACGTGCGTCCCAATGTCATCCAGTCTGGGATATCAGCGTTGGTTAGGCAATTCATAAGTTGATCTGCAATCCTATTGTGGAGTTCTTTAAAGTGCTTTATCCAATAAGCATGCAGTCCGTCTGTACCAGGAGAGGACCGTCATCTTCTTCACTCTATCTGCAACCAGGGTGTTAGTTATAACGAACTGTCGCTGTTCATCTGCTGAGGCTAGTGCTGTTCTGACATCCGGTAACCATTCAGCATCACTGTTATGTTCAACCGGCTGCTCCCATATGTTCTTCCAGAACTTCAAACAAGAATCCTTGTCAGCCTCAGGGTGGGAGATATCCTGTTTTTCAGGGTTTGTTTGAAGGTTTCTGTAGAACTGCCTCTGGTTGTTTCCAAACAACTTGTTCTGGTGGTATCGTTCGCATCTTTTATTAAATCTCTTTATCTTAGCTGCTTTTGCACGAAGACGTTGCTTGAGCTCCTCAATGATGCATGATATACCCTTTTTCTTCAACAGGGGGTGACGTCTGTTGAGCCCTTCTAGTATTTTTTGTTTAAGGGTAGTACCTTTCTTCTTCTCCTCAAGATAAGAGATGTCTTTCCTCACCTGGGTAATCTTATCTTCGATTCTTCTTTTCCATAGCGGAGTTTTCCGCTTCTCTGCATTCTTATTTGCTCCTGCAAGCAATAGAGTGTTGGTTTCCGTGATTGAAGAAGTAGGAATCTCTGCTATAAGTATACATGAGTCGATGAGAGATGTTTCCTCCACAAGCTTCTTTCTGTTCACATGTCTCAGGGGCTTGGTTTCTATCACTGCAAGGGTCTTCTAAAAGGGTTTTTAGCCGCTCAATGATTGCCTCCTTGTCAAAATCAGGTACCGTTGCGGTGGGGGTGAGTTCTTCGGCGGCGACAGTTGGGATAGTTGCATCCCTCAACGTCCTGATTGCTTGGGAGACTGTGGGTAAAGCTTGAGTTGTCGATGTTGGAGCCTCTTCCACTACGCTAGGTGGAAGAGTACCTCGAATCTCAAGTAGTTCTATGTCTGAGAGGAGATTATTATTTCTGATTGACCTTGCTTGGTCTTGCAATCTGTACAAGTGAAGAGTCCGGCATCATCCCACAGTGACCGGAGTCTCCTTCTGTAACCAGAGCGGGATGGTTGGCTCTGGCAATACAGCGTCATGAGCTGTATGTTGTCCTCCTTGCTCCACGTGTGCCGAGTGGAAGTCTCTGTGCGAGCCTTCCTCTCACGTCGAGCTGGAGGGACGATGTTAGGTTGTTGATCCTGCTCTGTCCCATTAGTAGGGTTTGGGGACTGGTTTTTGGTACCCGGCCAATGTTTACAAAATAATATAATACATAACAATATAATTTTATTTAATATGCGTGAATATGAAAATTGAAAATGTTGATTACGTCTATTCATTAAAAACAAAAACAGAAACTTTAAAAATTAAAACTTGTATATCATGATCAGACCTCTCACCCTCTCAAACTGCTCCAGAAAATTACTGTCAATGATTACCCTAAAACGTATCCAAGGCAAGCTAGATCAGTACACCGGTCCTACACAAAGTGCTTACAAGAGAGGTAGAAGTTGTGGCGATATAATTTGGTCTCAACGTATGCTAACCTCAGTGGTACTTAGAAAGCATTGGAGCTACCACAGAATGAATATAGACATGTCAAGTGCCTTTGACACCATCAGCAGAGAAACAGTACTCAATGTTCTTGAAGATGCTGGCTGTACTAGTGATGAAATTAGGATGGTACGGCTCCTACTATCAAACACAGTGTTGAAAGTAAAAGTCAATAATACTGTATCAATTGAGTTCCAAAGCACAACTGGAGCATTTCAAGGAGATGCACTATCAGGTAATCTATTTACTGTTGTTGAAGCCGCTGCACTTATTCACCTCAGATCTGTACTCTCCCAAGTATCATCAACACCTTACCCAGTGAATCATCCAATCCCTAATCCTCCTATCTCAAAAGAATTCATGCCACTCGAAACAGGATACTCTGATGATATTGACTTTAATAACACTGAACTTGCTCCACTCAAAGAAATGCTTCCTATCGCTAAAGATATATTCCAGCAGTGGGACCTTCATATCAATTCTTCCAAGACTGAATTTGTCCATTTTTATTTAGCAGATCCTAAACCCACTGTTAAACGCAAGGTGATTGTTGGAAAAGTGTATAGAGGTGATGAAGAGTGGCGCTCTAACAAAACTTTAGGTTCGTTGATGTGCACTGTTAAGGATATCAAGAATCGAATATTCCTTGGTAATGTTGCCTTTAGTAAATTTCAGAAAGTTTGGACGAAGAGCAAGATTTCAGTCCAAAGGAAGATCAAAATCTACGAGGCACAAGTAGTCTCTATTCTACTCTACAACTGCAACTCCTGGGCTGCACCACTAGCTTCGTTGAATGAACTTGATATTGCTCATCGCAAACACCTCCGAAGAATCCTCAACATCAGATGGCCTACTGGGGTTATTTCTAATGAGGCACTCTATGCTCGTTGTTATGTCACTCCCTTGTCTGTGAGAGTCTCTAAGTTTCGATGGAGAATGTTAGGACATATCTTAAGAGGACAGGAAGACTCACCAGCATACACCTCTATGTTATTTGCTATAAATTCTGATATTTTTATGGAAGGGAGACGGGGTAGACCATGTTTAAACTTATTAGATGTTATTAGAAAAGACTTGACTAGTAGAAATCTTGATATTAGACTTAAGAATTTGATTGATTTCGAAAACCTTAGATTTTTAGCTTTAGATAGGGAGGAGTGGAAGAAGTTAGAAGATGTTTGATGTTTTTGTTTCCTTTTTTATGCGTTTTGATATCTATAAGGTGCCTAGGATGCTCTTTTAAAGAGATATTTCGTACTTTGAAAGATTTACTACTACTACTACTACTATATCATGATTTGTTAACATATAGTGACAAATAATTTGATTTGATACGACAGATGATCACACGCACTGTTTTATAAGCTACTTGAGGTTAATAGTACAGTTTTGTTTTTTTGTTTGAAAACCAGTTTTTGCTGGTACCCATAAGGGCTTTGGAACCAATATATAATAAATTGTATGAATAAATCAAATCCCCGTGGGGCACGCGACATTCAAGATCTAGTTGCAAGCACATGTTATAAAACATTGTAAAATAGCCTCAAGACCAGAACTGCATATTGCTTGGGCTTCCAGCCCAGTTTGCTCAACAGTTCGTGGCCTACTTACCTAACTTAAAACCTTAGTGCAATGCTTGCAACAACTAAAATCCTATTCTATAACTAAGTTACCCTATTACGTATAATCTAGAAGAGTGATGCAAAAAGTCAACTGATAACGCAACACAGTCTAATCATACTCTTATCAGTAGTTCCTCTAACCTCTGTTCTCAGTTATACAAAAAGTTTTAACTCCATGAAATTAACGTCACACACATACACAAATGCTTGACTTTCTCAAATAATTAGTCACTCAGCGACACAAACTTTATTGTTTTTTATGTAATATTTCTTGCTCGGGTCCTTCTTGATTCCCTCTTTCATTTCCTGTACGAGCTTTTGGCGAGAGATTCGCTCATCCTGCGACCTGTCTGGAGATAAGTAGAGTTTGTTGTAGTTGAAATTGTAGTCTGCCACATCAACCGATTTCAAGACTTTTGCTCTGCTCAGAAATTCACGTACAATTTCAGGATCTCGCAAAGTAACTTTTATCGGCCGTGATCGAGGGCTGTCAGACATCTTTACTCCCACTCTCTCAATGTTTGTTATAGTCGGCCTTCCAATGAACTTCATAAAACCCCAAATATCACCCACGAGATCCCGTTCGTTCATTTCTTGCTCTTCACATTCGAGCTGTTCTGGGGCCCCGAAGATGATAAAGTTTTTCGACCGATCATCTTCTGTAATCGCCGATTTCACAGCCATTTTGATTTTAGCTGGAGAGATATCAGAAGCTACGCTGTTATTCTTCACAACATCTGTAAACAGTTTCATTTCTGTTTTCACTGTCTCCTTCACTGAAGCTAGTTTACCAGATTTGCATTGGATGAGCTCGTTCTGAGTTTTTATCTGTTCTGATTTCTGTTGGTCAAGCGTCTCTGCTGCTGATCTCAAAACATTTCTCGATTTGCATATCATAGACCCCATCTTCAAAACTATTTCGGTTATTACATCCTTTGTAACGCCTTTTGGCTTGAACAAGTCATGAGTGAGGTCCTCTAGTTTCCTGCAATTAAGATTCGCTAAAACCGAGTCTGATAAGTCCTCAATCTGTTTCTCCAGTTCGTGAAGTGTACTGACCGAAAATTCCATATTGTGTATACTTCGTGTATAGCAAAGCTGCACAGTAAAAGGCAGTGCAATTACCTATTTACTGATAAGAGACAACTGATATCAACTCACAAGCGAAAAGATTGATTGCACACTGACAGATCCGTCTGAAAAAATCGATCTGCTGACACTCAAAGCTTTCAGAGGATTTTTGACGTTTTTGAGTCCCATTAGGTGCCCTTTATAGCTGACCAACTTTTCCAAACTTTTCCACTTGTCTTAAGGCCACTTTTTGCCACTTTACCACTTTTTACCACCTTTCTTGTTTGTCGAATATCTTTAGTTGTGAACATCGTAAAAGGTTGCGGATCAATCGAGTGTGTTTATATTACCATGAAAAAAAACTTTTATTCTAACAATTTTTACGTCAGATAATCAGTTAATTGGATAATTATCAATTAACTAATTAGCAAAATTCTAAAAAAATTTTATTGGCTCAAAATGATCGGAATAGCCTAAAACACGGAGAAAAGTAGTTTTTAGAAAAACTTTGAAAATTTTTCACTTACATTTTTTTTCGAGACTTGGAAAAATTTCGAAAATTCAAAATATTTTTTTCCGCCAAAAGTGATCAAATTGCATGAAACGCGGAGAAAAATGCTTTTCAAAAAAACTTAGTGAATTTTTCGTTTCAAGAAAACTTAAATCACCAATATTTGTAGTTGGAGTTCAGTAAATCGCGGCAGATTTTAGTGATCATGAATTAAAACCTCTC